AAACACCTGCTAACTGCATGTTATTGTTTACATCCGTAAATGTCACGCATGTGCAAAACGCCTGAGAGCAAAAACACAATTATTTTACCTGCCATTGGTAGCTGCGCTGCCAACGTAGAGCCATGAACTAACTGAAACCTGGAGGTGCAGTGTGTCACAGCAAAGGGAAAAATAACAGAAAAACCATTACAGAACAACTCAAAACCACGTTTCTCTCTCTGTAGCGGCTACGCTACACGTAGGTTCGTTGCCATAGCAACTGAAAATTTCCCACACCAAGAATAGAACGCTAAGTCTGTTACAGTTTAATGTTTTTAGTCTTGATGTTTATTTTATGATCATTAATAAGTAATTGTTGCTATTAGCTAAGCTAACGCAGTGGCGGTGGATTAGCTAATTTAAACACCTGCTCTACTGATGATCAGTCAGAGTTGGAGTTTAGTCAAAACAGAGTTCCACGTCACATCTACATGCTACAATTGTCATAGTCAAGCTAGCATAACTGAACTACTTCCCTCTCCCTCACTATTGTTTTTCCTAATTAAAACTTTTTCCTGACTTAGATAGATAGATAGATAGATAGATAGATAGATAGATAGATAGATAGATAGATAGATAGATAGATAGATAGATAGATAGATAGATAGATAGATAGATATATATTTCTATGAGGTGTACATTTAAGATTTAGCATGCTATATTAACAGCTAAACCAATGCTAGTCATCGTCAGCTAGCAGCTTTTTGCCCTCCAGAAGGGAAATGGGGGCGGGATCCTGCGAGCGTGACGTCATGCTGCAACGTCCAATTATAATTTACTAACAAAAACTGCTTTTTTATGAAATGCTGATTGAATTTCAATAAAAGCTGTTATAATGTGGCTTACTTGTGTTGCTTTCTTTGTGTGAAACTTGAGTTGTTTTAGACATCTGTTGTGAATTTCTTGTCAGGAACCCGTTAGAAACATATTTACAGAGGAAAGAAAGCATTGATGGGTCCAAGGCATATTTCCCCAGCTGTGTTTTTAATCCGGTTTTATTTATAACCTTCTCTTTCTGCGGCTGATGCTGATATTTGTGAATGTGAACAGACCAACATGTGATGGCGGTTACCGGAGGCGGCAGATGGAGGACAGTCTGAGGAAACCTGACAGCCAGAGGAATCTAGAGGGACCCGGGTTTCCAGATGACAACATTTCCACACTTTCACAACCCCCACTCTCTCTTCCACTACTTCCCCTCCTCTTCTCGTCCTCCTCGTTCGTTAGCTCGTCTCTGGCTCTCCAAAGCCAGCTCTGATTGAAGGCAGCGTTATTAGCCCCTGCTAACCTGCCCTGTCACCGTTTATTTGACGAGAGTTGTATACAGACGTAGCTGAAGGGTTTCAGACTCTCTGTGCTAAATCATATGCATGACTCCTCTCCGCTCCATGTGGCAGCCAAGTGAGGCTTTTACCAAGGGAATCGGACTACAATACGAACCCCCCACCATTAAAAAGAGCGTGTTCTTCACTGCGCCCTGCCTCCAAACCTGAACCCGTCCACTGCGCTCCCGCCCCCCACGCCTTGAGTCTCCACACCGCAGTCATTATTAATGATCTGAGGGACAGCTTTCATTTGATCTATTAGTTAGGATGGGACAGCGGCTGCATCCCTGCTGGATCTTTAATTATTTCATGGAGGGCTTTCCTCCTCACCGCGGCTCCGTCTCTGTTGTGCAGATGAAATATTGAAGCAGAGGAGTGTAGTGCAAAGTGGCGTCATGCAGGGCGAGCTTTCTTTCGCCTGATTCGCTACTGTATGCTGGATTTACTGTCTATATGCAGGTGTAACCAGGATGTTTTCCTCTTTTGTTATAATTACACTAAATTTATTTTTCTTTTGGTCATTTGGATGTTCCTTACCCGACTGGAACACCTTTGAAAACTCCGTCATGTGACTTTAAGACCAGGACCTCCTTCTCTTTATCTCTTCTTCTGTGGTATTGTTGCTAAATTGTTAGACCTCCCCTTGGTGTCATTATTTTTTAAAATCTAAATTCATCCAGTTTATTTCTAGATTGTTTAAGTTAGTTTTTATCGTCACCATTGTGATATTTGAATCCATTCCATAACTTTTGCTATGCTTTTGTTTTGGAGTTTGTTGCTCTTGTCAGAATAAATCGAGAAGCCACCGTTTCAAAAACGAATCGAGTCACAGACTAATTATCTACTAAATTTACTACAGTCAGTAACTCGGCTCTCTAAATGCTGTTCAAATGCAAAGATACTGTAGCGTATCAAAAAGTCACCATTTTAGATCAATTGCCAAATTTTTACAGTTTTAATGTAACTTATCCTGCAAAAATACAACTGAAAAACAATTTGCAAAAAAAAAACTTTCATTATTCAGTCTTCTGGAGTTCACACTTCTGATTGGTTAGTGAATCTGAGTGGTTGGTAATTTAGTTACCATATGGGGTTCATAGGGTAGCAGGTAAAAATTAACAGCCATAATTTGTATTTTGCTAGCTAACTAAATATTAAGTTTGGAGCCAAATGTTGTAGTTTGTTAACTAAATATTTAGTTAGTATTTAATAAAAACTCAAAAGTTTTATTTTCATTTCTAAATCTGACTGAAGATTTTTCAGCTTCAAATATTTTAGTTTGCAAACTAAGCATTTAGCTGGTAAGCTAAATGCTTAGTTTGAAGCTTAACATGTAGCTTGCTAACAAATATTGAGTTTGAAGCCAACTGTTTTAGTTTACTAACACAATATTTAAGTAGTAAGCTAAATACTTTGGGGCTATGTAGTTGCTTACTAACTAAATACTTTGTAGGCGAGCTAAATGTTTAGTTTGTTGCTAAATATTTTTACCTGCTAACTAAATATTTAATTATATGTTATGGGATAACTGCTCTTCAGCTGTAGATGTGTTTTTTTTGGTCAAACAGTGGACTATTTGACCCAAAGCTTTTAGGTGTCAGCTGGAAAACTGACTAAAACTAACTTTTGGAAGGTTGCGGTTAAGTACCAAATCAAGTTGCTGAAATTAAATCGAAGGTAACGTTGATGAAGTATTAGTTTATGAACAATAGTTTGTTTTCCTGTGTGATTATGGGCCATCAGTGTTACATTAGCTGTTTTGAAGGACAGTAATGGGGCGCTATCACTACTCATTGTTGCCAAGAAAATCAGCGTGAAACTCACAAAGCAAACACAACTTTGCGGTAACGTCTGATCTCTAGCTCGAGGTCTGGTGGCTTCGCTCACACTCATCTGTTGAGTCACCACGCAGCTAAAGCATTATGAATACAGTAAGCTGTAAACAGAGAGATCCTTATGAACGTACGTTACGTGGTGTTTCAATGTACGAGAAGCCGCGCTCCTATGCGGGACCGTAGCAGTGACAGTGATATACAGCGCTCCATTAATTGCCATATGAATGGGGTCTGCATTTGTTGGCGCGGCGCTGATGCATCACAGTAAAAGAGATGGGTCACTCTGTCTTCTGCAGCCCGCAGCTTTGCCAAGCTCATAATTACTAAAACCCCCAATTAATCTTCCCATCACGAAGGCCAAATACACGCTTCCTGCTCGTAGAAATGACTTACAGCATATACTCTTAGCAAATACGCGTACTAGTGTGTGTATTTAGTGCTTCTGTTCATGAAGACATCAAGTGTAAATGGTATGAATTATCCTGCGGGGGAATAATATGTACTATATACCACGGATCAGGGTATCAGGTGGTGCCTGGGCTGCCATTAGCAGCTTAAACTAAACTGATGTTGGAAACTTTTTACCTCTGAAGTCAAAATGTAAGTTTGGGAATTACATTAAAACCAATTTTAACCATATTTCAGAAAACCAGTGGGATATGCTAACTAAAATGCTAAATGCTACTAGCTAGTCTTGCTGATAGTTTGTTTTTAGCTATTAGCAAGACTAGCAAGTAGTAAGTCTAGATAATAGCAATACGTGTCTTTGTATTTTACAAATTCAAACATTGAAGTACGATGGAGTATTAGGAAAATAAAAATATTTTAAAAAACAGGATTGAAGTCATAAAATTACAAGAATAAAGGCTTATATTTCAAGAACACAGTTGAAAGAATAAGAGAATAAAGTCAAAATATATATATACTTTTTTCTCGTATTTGTTCTTTTTGTAATACTGCAACTTTATTCTCATACGACTATTCTTGTAATATTATAAATTTACTCCCATACTTTTTTTTCTTACTATTGAAGTATTACTTCATTGTATTTAGTACTATTATAATATATGAACATATACAACATGTAAAGATTTAATGAGAAAGAAGTTCTCTAAGGTGAAGTTTTATTACTACCTTTAAAACATGTGATGTGGCTGCCACATCAAAATGGCTGCCACATTTTTCTGAGGTTAGAACCTCAGAGTTATTGTTCAAATTCTGAGCTTAGGATTGGTGAAAAATCAGATTTTTACATTTAACGTTCTGGCTTCAGAAAACATTCCTGTTCATTTTCCCAACTTGGAGCAAAGAGGGAAATATTTCAGTGAATTAAGAAGATATTTATGCTAATTAATGTTAGCAATACAAGCTAATAGTAGGCAGACATTAAATAGTGATAACCATTGTATTTATCTATGGTAAATGAGTTTGTATCTATGGTATTACAACCTCAGCATCAATACTGAATGCATTATAATAATGTTAATTAAATATTTGCACCAAAAAGAGTACATTTAACTCTTAAAGTTCAACTCTGCTAGTGGAGTAAACTTTATTTAAAGTGGGAAAAAATTTTATTTTTTAGAGAAAAATTTTATCCAATTTGACTAGAAGTTACTTTGTGAGTTTTTCAGTGAAGGCACTGGGTGAAACTCGATAATAAATGAGGTTTTACTGCTTGTCACTTATAGTACTGATATATTTTTCTAGCAACACAACAAAACAAAAAGTTCATTCGATTCACAGGTTGTGCAAACTGTTGCTTTGTAGAAAATCAGCAGAACATAAAGTTGAATTTTACAGATATATCTGACCTGTTAAACTTTAATCCACTTTATTTAAAATTCCTTAACAAAATGAATAAAATTAAATAATAATCTTTCTAAATACATGTTATTTCTCCATTGCAGCTCAGACTCTTTAGTTGTATTTCTTTTCAAAAACAAATAATATTTTAATTTTATATATTTCACTTACTCTGCACATTTATAAATATACAAAATAATTTTATTTACACTTGTTGCATATTTAAATTTACAGCAGAGCTCTGCTTTAAATAAGGTTATTTTTAGTGAAACCTAGCCAAAGTTAGCAACACAAACTGAGTATTTTTTACTTTAATAAGATGTGTTCAAATTTACAGTTTCGTTTTGAAAATTTAAGACAATTTAACCTATTAAGTTAGAAAGCTGCATGCATCATTTACAGCTTAGGTGTGATTCTCATCGCTGTGAAGTGAAACAGACTTCTTTTTTTTTAGACAATCCTCCTGTGAGAGAATGTTTGTGTTCTCCATTAATATGTATTTTTTTCTGCAGCATGCCGTTCTGGCTCCTGGCCACTCAACCTTTACTCATTGTGAGCAGAATCTCTTTTCCACACTCCAATCTGGGCGCCTGCCCTCCCGCATCGGCGACACCTTACTGCCACCCAGCGGCGGCAGCAGGTACTGCAGCAGCCAGCTGCAGGGGGAGGCAGGGAGGACTGTTTACAAGTGGCATTTGGCCCTAATTAAAAGCAGCGCTTGTTGGAGCACCAGGTCTGCAGAGGGGCTCGCATCCAGGGCGGTGCAGGCTGGGCCGCCGATCCGCCGATAAGCTTCCTCTACTCTGCAGCAAAACACAAACACATCAACCAACAAGTGAGCAGTGTGAGGATATAAACAGGATGGTTTTGCTGCTTTTTATTTCAAGGAAAAGAAACAACCCAGATGGCTGAGAGTGCAGCTTTTCTCTTCAGTCCAATAAAAAGCGTCTTCCTAGCTCCGTCTGTTTTCTAATTCTGCTGGTCCAACATCTGGCCGTCCCATGTGGACAGGCCATTACGTCAGCGCAGAAGATGAATGAAAGCAGCTATCGACCTGTCTGAGCAGCGACTAACTGGGCCGACAGCGGCTGCGAGTTTGGACCGGCTTAATGGAGCACAGCAGCTCGGCAACTAATCACCTGCTTTTTCTCATCAGCCGCTTCCCCCGTGGGACGGTAATTGATTGTTAAGTGTTTGATGGATAAGACGAAGACTGAGGTGGCCTGACTGGGAAAGAGCTGCGCAGTTTGCAGCCATCTGTGACTTCAAACACAGACATCTACCTAAAATAAAAAAACATTTGTTCACATGTGACAATCTGGCATCAAAAACTATTAATGGACTTAATATCACTGCAAATACACAAAATCTTAAGTATTTTTTCCTCTATTCTCTTAGTACATTTAGAATAAGATAAAACTAACTGAAAAGTAACTTTTCAGCAAGATAATGAGCTTCTTATAAGTCAATAATTCTTTAATATTCATTTTAAAAAGTACTAGTTCCACTGGCAGATTGTTTCATTTACATCACGGGCAAAATGTTTTGCTATAAGTGAAGTAATCTGAAATTAAGAACTAATTAAGAATGTGTGAGGCAGCTTTTATGATAAACTAATCTAATAATCATTGAAAAGTGAATAAAAGTGAAAATAAAATCACTCTACGGGTATTTTCACATCTGATAGTCCGGTAGACTCAGTTCTATTAGGACCAGAACTTTATCATCTGCTCCGTCTCCAGCTGCTGTGGGTCTCTCTCTCTTGCTCTGGGACAAATCCACCTGTTCCCCTCCTGGCCTGTGGGGGCGCTGCACCAAGAATCACTGAAGGAAACGACACTAAAACCTCTGAAGAAGACATCGGACTTTCTAGGTAAATGGACTGGAGTTGGACCTTTGATCTGATTCTCAGACATATCTGTGTCAAGCATTCTTGTCTAACCTGAGTCTGAAAAGTTTGTTGTGATCCAGCTCCTCCTCCTCGTCGGTCTTCATCAGACCTCTGCTCCTCAGCCGCCTCTTCCTCTCCTCCGGGTCCAGGGTGAGTAAGATCACCAGGCTGGGCTGCAGGAGGTCACCGGGCCAACGGTACACCTCGGCGCCCTCGTGTGGAAGGTTACTCACTGGGCCGGTTACTGCGGTGGCGATGGCGTACGCTGCTGTGCTGTGCCAGAACCTGGGGATCAAAGATGGCTGACTGAAGGTGAGTGAAGACTTCCTGCACCACCTGACAATAAGGCTGAAACATTAAAGGTGCTTCCTTGAACAGCTTAGGGTAAGTCTACGGCCTATCCAAAACATGTTCATTATACTTTTTCAATTTGTTTTAAGTTGATCTGTGTGCTCTTTTTTTTCAATGTGTTATTTCAGGAAGGTACAGCAATTTTAACTTTTTTGCAAAGCCACATTATGGCAAAAGAAAAAAATCATAACTTTGTGAAAAGATGCCGCAACAATCACAAAAAACATCATAACATCCTGGGGGGACTTAAAACACTTGTTTGTTTGTTTTCCAGCAGCCATTGTACAGTGCATGCGTAGGCCTGTTGCAATAAACAATAAATCAGTTAATCAAATGATTAATTCAAATGAGGTCAATAATTTCCATTTGCATGATTAGCGTTTTTCTCTTTTCTCTCTTTCTACCAAAAACTGGGCGCTAACAGTCTTCAGTCTGCTGCTTTGGTCTCAACTAGCACATTTTTTGAAGGACTAATTATTTACAGAGACTTTATGAATCGTTTTATTTGTTGTTTCGGTTGTTTTGTTTAGTATTTTGGATATTGAAAATGTATTCCAGTTCCAATGTTAAATGTTCATTGGTTCTTTGAGAATATGTTGTTGCAATGTTTTGCCATTATATCATTTTCAAGTAATATACAAGAACAATATTATTGTTTATCAGAATAACTGAGACAGTTTATCATCCAATGCATGCTGCCTTAAAACCAGCTGGGCAAATGTTCTGGAACTCCACCTGGGTTGCTAGGTAACGGGCAGAGTTCCGCTGGGGTTGCTAGGTAACGGGCTGGTAGGTGAAAGGTCAGTGCCTGCTGATTTGTGATGTTACATTTGGTTTGTTTTTGAAACAGACACCAAAAAACATGAACTAAGCCAATAAACACCTGGTGGTTTTTAAAGCGTTCTAGAAGCAATATAAACCCAAAAGGAAGAACAGAAACATACAGAATGAGTGAATTTGGTGGCCGTTAAGAGTTCATCACTGCTCTAACATGACAGTACAACATCTTGCCTGTCAACGATAACAGGAGACTTGCTGGCCTCTTGGTTTATCTGCTCAGCGGTGATGTAGTTGCCCACTGCATAGAAAGCCCTGCGGATGAGGGGTGGTTCTCGATCGAAGCGCCCTCTCCAGGCGGACAAGCACTGGGGAGGCGACCGCAGAAGCGTGGCCCCCAGAGAGTCCCGCAGAGACTCTGTCAGCGTCGTCTTTCCTACAAAATGAAAGTGAAAACATTTGTTACTCTCTCTTCATTAAAGAGAGTCTACCTGACACAGTGGAGCATCAGACGATTCAATAAACCATTTCCAAAGTGATGTAATGTTTCTGAGGTCATGATACGTGATATTCCATTAGGCAGAGCGCTCTGACAGGTAATGTTTTTAGCAGAGAACAGCCACCCATCAGGCTGATCCTGTGTTTATTTATGAGGTAATGGCATTAACCTGTGGCATCCAGGCCCTCTATGACAATCACTGGGAAGTCTGGTTTTCTTCTGGCATCCAGGCTGCTGGGAAGCATCCCCAGTACAGACCGGGTCTCTGGGATGATGTCACCACACTGCAGAAAATGGGGAAAAAATCAGTTCACTGCGGATCAGGAGGGAGTCAGAAAGACTGCTGCATCTGCTCCTCTTTGAACGCTTGAAAAGTCTAGTTTTTTAGAGGTAATAATCTGAGACTTTAGTGAGTATTTGAACAGGTAAAGACAAAATACCTCAACGCCAGTGAGACTGGATGGAGAACAGCTGTGAAATCTGTCAAATTTAAAGTCTGGCTACAGATCCTCAATTGGACGTAGGTCTGGATTTTGACTAGGACATGGGTCAGCAACCTTTACAACCCTAAAACTCATTTTTGCCTTTGCACTATCTTACCAAAGTTGCTATGACCCTTCAAAATAAAATGAATAAATCAATAAAAATATACTTTCTTCTAAACCAGGGGTGCCCAAACTACTTTTTCTCTCACCAGCCGGCTGAGATCATTTTAACAGAAAGTGACCCAAATGTTGTTCTTAAAACTTAGAATAAATGTGTTAAATCGAGAAAATAAAAACTTTTCTTTTAATACAGCAAATGAGCCACATTTGCACACATAAAAATCATTTTTACAATGAATTACATCCCGTTCCTACATTGTTTTCATAAAAGACGTCAAAATTTTTGACTTAAACGCTGAACTTAAATCTTCAGGATCTGGAGACCCTGCAGTACCATTCTCCGCCACATGAGTGCGCCATTGTGCAAAATGTTGCAACTAAGCTTAATATTTTTGAAGTGTACCTGTTTCAGCACGTCGCAGGCCTCCTCCAGGCTGTAGAAGACATCAGAGTTGATCATGTTGAGAACTGATGGATGATGTTTTGGTGTTTCTGAAGGCACCACGCAGAACCTGACCGGGTTCTCCTCAGACTGGTACCAGAGACACTGAGTCCACTGCTGGCCGTCTTCACTTTGGGAGTATGAACACACCAACACGGGGTTTCTCTGCTCCAAATCTGTTAAAATGTCCTCAATCAGCGATGAATTCCCAGCCCGGCTTTGGAGGAAATACCCTTTGAGCAGCGAGCCCTTCTGGTCCGGGATGAAGGAGGACATGGACCGGAGCCCGGAGCCCGGTGGCAGCTGAGTCTGCAGCCGGTCTCTCAGCTCCCAGTGAAACCTGTCTCCTGTGACCCGGTCCCCGCTGCAGACCAGCAGGGAGTAACATCTGTCCTGCTTCTGGACCTCACTGAACACATCAGGCGGCACCGGTTCCCCACGGAGCTGCTCTCTGACCCCAAAGTACCGCGGCGCTGCGTCCACTTCCACGGAGAAAACACGGGACGACCACCGCTGGACGAGAAGCTTCAGGTGCCGGGCCATGTTCCGGTTCTGGTGTCGGCGGGTTTCAGTGTAGCTGCAGTCGGCTGTGGTCAGGAAAACGAAAGTTACCGAGCGGAGAAGGAAAAACGAAACTTACAGGCGACGCCTCTAGGGTGCAGCAAATAAGCGTTTCCTCTGAATCCAAAAGTTAAACTCGAGTTTGAAAATGTTTTCAAACCTTTGGCTCTGCACGTCGACACTGATTAAAATCAGCATAAAAGTTTGCATATCAGTCTGAAATAAACCAATCAACCAAGTTTATTTATGTAGCACATTCCAGCAATAAGGCAGTTAAAGTGCTTTACATTAAAAATACAAAAATACAGAGTGATAAAATATATGCATGACTAAATATGCATGTGATCATTCCAGTACAAAAAAAAACATTGCAAATAATTTAACATTTTCCTGCCAGTTCATATATTTAGGGTGAACATATGCTGGTTTTTACCACTTTTTTAAACTTAAAAATTTTACTTATTTCATGTTGGAAATTTTGAAAACTCTAAAGAAATATAAAAAATTCAAGGCAACCAAACCATGTCTGCTTTGTGGTGCATAGAAACTGAAAGCTATTTACAAAATCGGTTTTGTAAGCAGCAAAGCAGACTTTGGTTTGCAGCTATTTCTGCACCGATACTCTAATAATCCCATATATATCAAATATGACATAAAAAGACTTAATTTAATGCCTTGATATTGGGCCTTTGTCTCTCTAAGAAGCTCCTGCTCTTTCTGAAACTCCATCTCCCAAAAGTCTTTACAACACGGCTCCTCTGTTAAGGATTTAACAACATTTCTACCATTGTCTCACTGAGAAATAGATCGCATAATGAGATCATAAGATGCACAGTTCCACCAGGTGTTTGCTAATTGCTGCTGGCCAGTCTGTAGGAGCTGCTCTGTGAGGTGGAAGCGTAGGAACTTCAGCTCTGAGAAGGAGCGTTGTCGTGAAGGCGGAGCTAGATCCACCCAGGTGTGTCAGCCATCTGAGTGGTTACCATGGTGATTAAAGCATTTCTCAAAAAATCAAAGCATCACTCCATGTTTGTTTTTGATGAAGGAATAACATTATACCATGATGTAAAGATTTTAAAAAGTTGATTTTACACAATACTAACTCTTTAAAACTCACGTAAAAGATTTTTTTTATTTGTGGGCTTTTGCAAATAAGAACGAGTGTGAGAGTCTTTCTGTTCATGAAACATGTTTTTAAGTGAAGCAAAATTAACTGACAATAATTTTAAAGTACTGTAATGTGCCTAATTTTTCACTCTAATATGTGATTATGGTGGTTTGAGGGCAAGGTGAGTAACAGGGACAGGCATTAAAAATGAAAACATATTAATATTAATACATATTTTCATACTTTTCTCTCTAAAATCCATTCATAAACATATTATAGCAGGTTGGGTCAGGGTCCCGATATGCCCCCCCTTACTGGCGCCACTGGTTATCAATAGAGCGACTTTTTCCAACATTTCAGTTACATTTCTTGTTTTGCAGTTGTTATCAAGAGCCATCTGAAGGCACTTAATGAAAAACATTTTATGCATCTTAATCATTTCTTCTCAGAAACCCAAACCAGGACAGTCGGTCCTGATCTGGTTTTGGTTTCGATGTTTGTAAACAGAAACTTACTCAGCTGACTGCCTCCGGGGCCAAGCCTCTATTTAAACAGCCGCCCTGCAGAATGACGCAGTCTGCAGCTTCAACAACCGGATAATAACTTCTGATTTCAAGATGCCTGGAGTTTCTGCCGGCGCCCTGCTGGAGCTCTGCATCAACACCATCCTCAGCATTTTTTCGGGAGTCTTTTCCAAAGTTTTTTCCTGGTCCAAAGGAGCCTGCGGGGCCACAAACTCCCTGCTTTCGGACGCGAACAGCCAATCGGAGCAAAGCAAAGACTTGGATGTGACGACCCCAACCAGCGTCAACTATCACTTTACCCGCAAATGCAACTATAAATGCGGGTTTTGTTTTCACACCGCAAAAACTTCCTTCGTCCTTCCTTTGGAGGAGGCCAAGAAGGGGCTCAGACTTCTAAAAGAAGCAGGTAATACTTACGGCTTAAAAGCATAAAATTCTGTTTTATTGGTCAAAACTAAATGAAAGTAACATTTGTGGTTTAAAGGGATGGAAAAGATCAATTTCTCCGGAGGGGAGCCGTTTCTGCATGAACGGGGAGACTTCCTGGGGAAGATGGTTCAGTACTGCAAGGCGGAGCTGCAGCTCCCCAGCGTCAGCATCGTCAGCAATGGCAGCATGATTAAAGAGAAATGGTTCCAGAAATATGGTGAGGTCCAGCTTCAGCTCAGGAAGTCAGGACATGAATGAAAAGTTTAATTATTTGAGTAGTTTAAAAAGTGAAACTCATGTATTTATGGCACAGACGGATATAATTTAGTATTTTCAGTGATGAAAACTCAGTGATGCGTTTCTATTCACCAATTGCGCAAATTGGTATTACAAAAATAAGTTTAATTGAAAAATACCAATATCTTAAAATCTCTCTTTTTTATGAAAAGTTTTGATGAGGTCGTTTTTGCGGACCTATTGAAATGGGTTTATCCAGCAAAATTCCAATTGAAACTTTTTTAATCACATGATTAACAACTGGCTGTTACCACTGGGAAAATATGAAGAATCCAGGAAGTGGTTGGAGGGTGGTGGTGCTACATGTTTTTTAATGACATTGTTTGAACAAACTTATTCACATGATATCACATGATTTTAATTGCATTTCTTATTTAATGGACACACCGAAATTATGAAATTGGTTTTTTTTTTTTACATTAGCAGAATATCGGCAAAGTTTTGCGCACATTTGTAATGGAAACACAGCTATTGATGGGAAGTTTAGTGGAAGGTAAAAATATGTTGGTCGACTGTGTTTTATGACCAAAGTAAATAAAGAAAGGACAGACACGATAATGTTATGCTACAAGTAGTTATACTAGTACAACTGCTAGCGTAACGTCTGTTGTGTGTTAGCATAACGTGCATTTTAGGTTTTGTTGTTTCTTTGCATTTTATTGACCCTTCTGGGCCACCATAAATAAGCTCTCATCATTTGCTTTGTGCAGGAGACTTTTTGGACATCTTGGCAATCTCCTGTGACAGTTTTGATGAAGAAACCAACCAGATGATCGGCAGATGTCAGGGCAGCAAGAGTCACATCGAGAACCTCTTCAAGATCCGCAGCTGGTGTCAGCAATACAAAGTGGCGTTCAAGATCAACTCGGTTATCAACACCTTTAACGTTCACGAAGACATGACCGAACAGATCAACCAGCTCAATCCGGTCCGCTGGAAGGTAAAAACAGTTTATATGTTTTAAAACGTGTCACAGCTAGAAGGAAAGCTGATTGGGTTGCTGTTTTCTCCTGGTTTTTGCTCAGGTGTTCCAGTGTCTGCTGATCGATGGAGAGAACGCTGGAGAGGAGGCGCTGAGGGAGGCGGAGAGGTTCGTCATCACTGACCAGCAGTTCCAGGACTTCCTGGACCACCACAGCGCCGTTTCCTGTCTCGTTCCAGAGTCCAACGAGAAGGTAAGAGACTGAACCTCGTTACGCATCTGATCACTGACACGCTTTAGCTTTAGCTAACTCTGACTGCAACAGTTGTTTTTCACTCTCATAGGTAGTTTATAGAACACGATATTTTGCCTTACTGTTGTGATAACAATAAAAGTGCTTTTATTTATTTCTTCTTTTTTAGGTGTTTAACTCTGGCATTAGCTGCATTTCCATTGCCCATATAACTGTGCTGTTAAACATTTTGAAAATGAATTCTCTTAATGAGTTGTTTCAAAAACAACTTGTCGTTGCTAGGTAACAAGTTGTTACAAGTTGTTACCTAGCAACTTGTAACAACTTGTTGTTACCTAGTAACAACTTGTCATTGCTAGGTAACAAGTTGTTACAAGTTGTTACCTAGCAACTTGTAACAACTTGTTGTTACCTAGTAACAACTTGTCATTGCTAGGTAACAAGTTGCTACCTGGCAACTTGCTGCACTTTTTTTTCCTCCATGCCTCATAACTGCTTAGAAATAAAAATCATTATATTCACATTGCAGTCAGTTTTTAAAACATACATAACTTTCTGTTGTAGTTTTGATTCTTTTCATACCAGGATGTGATATTAAAATCTGTTTGTTGCTTTAACAGATGAGGAACTCGTACCTGATCCTGGACGAATATGTAAGTACTTTCTGTTGCTAACACTGTTAGCTTTGCAGCATTGCATATGTTCAGGTTAAAATATTAAGAGTGTTGTTTAGTCTTACCATGGGTTCTTCTGTCTTCTTTTGTTTGATTTTGTTTTAAATGTGTTTTCTTTCGCTCCATGAAGTCAGACTCAAAGTTTGTGTTTTTTGTTTTTCCAGATGCGTTTCCTGGACTGTCGGGAGGGAAGGAAGGACCCGTCCAAATCCATCCTGGACGTCGGCGTGAAGGACGCCATCAGCTTCAGCGGCTTCGATGAGAAAATGTTTCTGAAGAGAGGCGGGAAATACGTTTGGAGCAAAGCTGACATGAAGCTGGACTGGTGAAATTTACAAATCGGAAACTTCTCGGCTTTTATGCACTTATTTCACTTTGCAGCTTGTTGTTTTAGAAGTGTTACCATGTTCAGGTGTGATTTTTGGAAATGTCTTAAGATTAAGATAAGCTTTGAGTGTGTTGTAAATTTTTTTGTATTGTTGATGTAAAGTTTAAATTAAAGTTTTAGTTTTGCTGACTGGATTCAGTGTTTCAACTTTAACAATTTTATAAACTTCTTTATTTCATATTTCTCTGTGTAAATGTTCCCCATATCTACTCTATTTCATGCATTTTCATAGTTTCTCTTCCTTTAATTAAGTCCTACATTTTCTTATTACCAATAATTATTTCATTTAATCTTTTCCTTGTGTGTCTCTTGTGGTTTAATGTCTGTATTTCTGTTTGTAACCTCTGTAAACTTTGTGTCATACCTCATATTGATTCATTAAATTTATTTATATGACACTAAATTACAACAGATTTCATCGAAAGGTTTTTACTCATATAGTTAGTAACTTTGTCCAAATTCACTTATTAGTTATTTTATGAACAACTAATAAGTGTTCATAAAATAAAGAAAAATGCAGTTCAAATCTAAATTTTATAAAACATTGGTAATAAGTATTAAAGAAAGATGATTGATTTAACATGCTTTTAGTTATACTGTCAATAATTTGGGTTATTTAGCTTGTTATAAGAGAAAAAAAAGCGGGAGTTCATTTTTCAAAGTCATGTTTTCACCATGATATTCATTCATTTATAAATGTCACATTTTCAAACAAAATATTTAAACAAATAGTTTTGCAAAAATTAAATATTTAGTTAGCAGGTTGAATATCTAGTTCCAAACTAAATTTTTGTTTTAAATTCATAATGTGAGTCGTTTTTCACTTTTTTATCTTATCAAGTAGAAGTAAAAACATAATTTGCATTCACTAAACATCAGCTCCAAATGTGATGCATGTTTAATACTTTTTAGCACTGCTGACTAAATGTCATGCTATTAGAAATATGCTAAATGTTGAAAAATTGTGACAGTATGATATGAAGATATTTTTAGTAAATCTCAAATAATTAAATGATAAAATTATTGTTTACACCTCGAATTATTCAGGTGTTAATACCATATAGGTCATATGTAACTCTCTCCATGTTTAAATAATTTATGTTTCCCAGCTGTCCATAGAGTTACTGCCCAAGATAAGATAATTTACTGCCAGTTTTGTTTATCAAACTCAAACATACGCCACACCAGCAGGCCAGATATGAGTTTAATGGAGGGAAGAGTCACAAAAGTTTGTGATGTTTTGATGAACTGGAGTGGGAAATGATTAAATAAACAAATACAGAAATAATTATCCTTGATTTAAACATATTATTTTTGTTCTATTTATTTTGTTTACAATTATTTAGTTACTTTCAGTTTTATTTAATATCTGACCAATATAAATATAATTTGTATGTATTATTATGCATACATATTTATATTTTTTTTCATATTTATATTGTCAGATAGCTTGCATTGTGTTTTTTCTACCTGCTGTTTTCAATTCTGCCGCTCTTTTTTTGGAATATCAACTTAAATTTTTTAGAATGTCGGAATAATAAAGAATTATCTTATTTTATTTTCCAAAATTATCCTTTTTTTCTACAGTAAATACATCAATATGAAAAAAAAATCAGATATTACAGACATGATGACAGAAATATTCCGTGATTTATATGTGTTTACAGCTTTGTTGTTTGTACTCTTGGAAATGGTGAATAAAAATAATTCAATTTCCGAAACAAAACTGCAAAAAGGTACCAAAATGATCTGAGCCTTAAACTGGTGTAATGGAACCATTCAGCCAGGAGAGGGAGCTGTCCGGAATGTAAAGAGCTGCAGGTCCTGACTTCGCCTGTGGGCGGCAGTGTTGCGCACTGGCAGCCTTTCCTTGTAGACAAATGGCGTCTCTTCAGCGAGCAGCAGCTGATTCCCCACCGAGAACGGCAGCAGGAACGGAGGGGAGGTAAACACGCCGCCCCCGGATTTCCTTGCAGTAGGATAGTCCGTTGTTTTCTGCGGGATCTGCGTCGCATCCTGACGGCTGGACGTCGCTTTCTTCCTCCCCGGAAATCGAGAGTTTGGAGCCTCCGCGGTGTGAAAACAACCCCCTTCCCCGCCGGAGAGGAGAGGGTCAGCTGCAGCCCGGACTCCCCTCCCCGCTGCTTCTGCTTGTTTTCGGAGGTTGTTGCTCCTCGTCAGGGCCCGGACTCGGATACGTGAGGATGGGCATCACCCCTCCGCGGCTGCCCTCCCCCTCCGCCTGACTGACTGACTGACGGCTCGGCGGCGTTAATCCAATTCAGGAGATCATCTTTTCAACCCTCCTGAGGTCAAACTATTGAGACCAGGTAAGGCTTTCAGCTCTCATCCACCGTAGCGCAGCGGGAGCTCTTCGAGCTGCTAATTTGGTTTTATTTATAGAGCTCTGCGTTTTCTCCAATCCTCCACTTTCCCTCCCTGAAATCTGCTGTTCTTCGGTGTTCATAATGACCCCAGAAAGAATCATTCCGAAGGTTTTAGGAGCATCATGGGACACGGAATGGATCTGAAAGGTCGTTCAGTTCCGTGACATTTCCATTCCAAAGAGCAGGCGACATCCATGCTGTCATTACCAGCTGAACTGGTTCTCTGGTTCTGCGGACTTTAGCAAAATATGTGATTAAAAATCAACTAGGGCTGTAACAAATAATCGATTAATTTTCATACTAGCTTTTTTTGGTCTATGATGATGTGATCGATTATCGCAACGACTTCTGGACAATTTATCGTCCAGCCAATGTTTTTTATTATCGTGGCAACCATAGTCACCACACTTTGCACAATCAAAAAACATTTTTATTCCACTTAACATTTTGATGCTACCTTTCATTTTGCGTTGATATTAAAGTGAGATTCTCTGTTTACGTTTGTGTTGGTAGGACAGGGGGAAAAAAGGCTCTTTCCTGCTGACTTTGTTGCTACATTTAGCAACTCTTCACACAAAAATATTGGGCATAATCAGCGTTAGCAGGTTGTAAAGGGCCGAATGAAGTAAAATAGATTTTTGTTTTTCTTTCCATCACAGTGCTTTTCCCTCATCAAACACAGACCTGCAGTTGTTGCTTTGATTCTTTTATCCATGGCAACCATTCAGTTGTGCCTGGTTGGACCCAGCCTCGCCTTCGAGGCGGAGCTCCGCCCCCTGTCAGCTCCTTCAGACTAGCCAACAGCAATTAGCAAACACCTGGTGGAACTGCTGTCCTTATAGGAGGTACTTCTCAGAGCAACGCTGGAAAAAACGTTAAGGGGTTAATAGAGGAGCCATGTTGTGATAACTTCCTGAAGGCAGAGATTCAGAAAGAGCGGGAGTTTCTTAAAGAGACAGAGGCCCAATTTCAAACTACAAAGTCAAATTTCTTTTGACTCATATTTGTAGCATATTTATAACAACTGAAGCTAAGATAATTGGTTGATTGTGCTATAAAATGGCACCATGTGCCTGTAAACACATAATAGCGCCTCTATAAAGATCGTTGATCAGTCTCCAAACCGCTAGAAAGAAAATGTGTAGCTGCCACCTTCACAGGTATTGATAATAAGTTTTGGCCTGGAGAGCAATCTCAGCGTTAAGCAGATTGGAAACCTGTTTGACCCACTGGGACCCAATTACTCCCAGTTCACGGCCTGTCGGGTGCAGAGGAGGGCAGAGTACCCAACAATTACACCATCGACAGAGTACAACTACTTCAACATATTTTTACTCAAGTTAAAGTAAAAAGTATTTGTTAAAAATCTACTCAAGTTCTGACTAATTGATCAAATTATAAATCATTTACTATTTAAGAATTAAATCATCAAACAGACCAAAATGTAAAGTTAAGTGGAAATTTTGCTATTTTAAGGAGAAAATGACAGTAATTCATATAACTAACAAAAAGTAACAACATTTTTCTAAATCAGTTTCTGTCAATAAAAACTTTTTAAACTTTAACAGGAACTGCCAGTGTGTGTCTGATGAGTTTCTGGTTAAAACATGTTTGTTTGTCATTCAGTGGGTAAAAAACACAGAAATTTTACCTAAATAAGATTAGAGATACTTCATAATAAAATTACTCAAATTACAGCGTAGTAGAAATATTCCTAAAAGTACATTTGTTCAAAGATGGTATTCAGTAGATGTAGTTGAGTATCTTCCCAGCTCTGCATGTCTGATGTTACCTGGTTAGGTAACGAGGCTCAATCGCTCCTTTCTTCCGCCGTGGATTCAACCCAAAGGTGGAACAGACCGTCTTCAGGGTCCGTCTGTCTGTCTGCTTATGCAACGTTCCGGTGTGTTGCTGTTGTTGGGGGTTTGAAATGATGAGGGTGGCGCCGGGTTCCAGGTGAAGCATCATGGGATGCATGCGTGCTTTTTGCCTGGCAGCAGCTCTCGCAGGTAAAATGAGACGGCCGTTATGCAACGCTCCTTGGAATCTGCTGACCGGCTGACACTTTCCAAGATTTAGCATTTCAGTAATGCTGCGTGGCTGGGAGCCTGCAGAGTTCAGTGGTATGAGGAGAACACACAATGGCTTCCTGAGAGCAGGACGAGCAGCAGGGCTGAAACGATTAATCGGAGTAATCATGATTAATCGGTCATTGAAGTAATCAACTAATTTAGAAACAGAGTATGCAGACTCAAGAAATGGAGCAATCAAGCCAAAACTGCTTAAAATTTATAGTTTTTCCAACTTAAAAACCAAAATAATTTTTCTCTGGATTACTTTTATCTGCTCGGTAATAAATTAAACACGCAATAATTTAATTAAGCAACAAAGTGGTTTTATTTTGGTCTTAATAAAAACAGCTTCCTAACTTTTTGGGGTGGTTTACCAAAAAAAAAACAAAAAAACATTTAGTTTATATATTAATCCCTTTAACTGCCCCATTTTATTTGTTTTGTGTTTAATTAATTTATTTTTTGTTTGTTTGTTCTTTTCTGTTATTTTTTTATTTATTTACCTTTTATCCACCTGCTTCAGTGAGGAAATATTTGATGTGGTTTTTTTGTGTGTTTTGTTTTATTTTGGGTTTGTTTTGACTTTTACTGGTTCGTGTTTATTATTTTAATTACTTTTTTAAAATTATTATATCACAATTAAAAAACAACTGCTACCCAACGTTAATAGAAAAAATAATGTACTCTAATCATTTATTTAGTAATTCTTTTTAAAACAAAAAGTAATTTACTTTAAAATTAAAATTAAACTAAAAGTGCTCTGTGCTTAACAGTTTCCGTTGAAGAAGAATTAAATTTGTCATTGAAATTCTTGTGCTAAAAAGTTGACAAACTACCCACTGCAGGGCCAAATTGGTAGCATTTTTGAAATGCAGACAAGCGACCACCAAAAATTGGTGGTAAGGGCCATTTGGGGCCCCCTGACCACACTTTGGACACCCCGATTTAAAGTATGATGGAAGAACAGAGGAGAAAGAGGAAAAAAGTTAAATATTGCAGCTAGATTTGCATTGATATGAAAATTTGGACCGATGTCGGATAATTAATATCATAAATGTTTTCTGTGTCCCAACATACAAACATGGCAACCTGCTGGTCCAGGACTGGATTCTCATCTGGGACGGATCACATGTTGGCCAAAACATGAATAAATCATCGTGTTAATGGCCTCTGTACATTAGTCATGTGAACTGAAGCATCTTCACATTTAAATCAGTCCCTCCCTTTTATGAGACCATCCCATAATTTCAGATGTATAAAACATAAACTCACATCATTCATTCAGGTTTTCAGTCAGTGTTTTAAATGTGAATTTTCCCGGGTTAAAAGTGTTTTTTTTTTTTTTTTTTTTTTTTTTTCTCAGTATTTTGGCATTTTGAAACTACTAAAAATTTGTCACAATCACAAATTTTACTGGATGAACTGATTTATTGCTTATTATGACAGACCTGACCCTGGCATCTTACTCAACTTTAAATACCAATATTCTAAATCTTTGAACATTTGAATTCTCGGTTTTCCAGTAAACCGGATGGAAATTGGATCAAACCTGGACGGTCCAGTTTGTGTTCGGCTAAATGCCGCTGTGATTTGGAACAAAAGGCCTCAAAGGGAGGCTCAGTGCCTTCTCACACCGCAGCTCCCTGCTCTGATTTAAGTTTCGGGTGCTGTTTTCGGCTCTCCGTCGACCTTTGAAGGGGTTTCCTTTCCTCTCGTTTGATGGGTTCACATCCTTTGTGTGTCTGCGGCGAACCCAGCAGGAAGTTGAACCCTTTCCTACGTCAGGTCGAAGCTTCCTCCTCCCACGGTTTCCCTGAGACCCGTAAAATATGTCCTGATTTCTTCATTTTGATTTATCATTGTCTTGCAAAATTTCTGTTATGGATGTTAAATTTAAAAAATGACACCATGATTGGAAGTGTTTGATATTTTCTCCCATTTTGTTCAATGATAAATATTGGTAAATCAGAAAATGAGATTTAAATGCAGCTTAGTGAGATTAATCATCAGTCAATGTTAAAATACCAGTTTTAGTTTTTTTAAGTGGTTTCCTGAAGAAGCTTATTTCTGTAACAGTGATAGAGAGATAAAAAACAGAGTAAATAAACAATGAAAATATTAGAAATTTTGAGATTAATCTGATAAACTTTCTAGAAGAAAATTTGGAAAAAAAATTTAAATTTCTGAGTTTCAAAAGTGGAAAATTTTTGACTGTTGAAACCAGAAATTTCCACATTTTTTCTGGAAAATTTCTGAGCTTTAGATATAAATTTCTGAGTTTTTTCTTGCAATTTTTCAACTTTTTGAACTTAGTAAATTTAGAGATTTGTCTACAAATTTTTTGCAATTAAGGTCAAAACTTCTGAAATTTTTTGAGAAAATTTTTGACTTTTCAAGCTCCAACATTTCTGTTTTCTCTAGAATTTTTCTAGAATTTTTCAAAAGTTTATTTTTTATAGCTTTATAACTTTAATGTTTCGAAATCAAAAATTCAAAGTTTATGCTTCAAAATTTCTGAGATTATTCTAAAAAATTCTCACTTTATTCTAGCAAATTTTTAAGTTTTCAAATTTGTAGATTTTCTAGAAAATTTCTGAGTTTTGTCATTTGGAGGAAAGATTTCATTGTTTTTTTTCTAGAAAATTTCTGAAACTTGACGGAAATGTACTCCTTTTTTCTTTTCATATAATGTAACATATTTGAAACATGTTTCAAATATGTTACATTATTTCATTAACAATATTTGTGTGTATGGTGGCATAAATGCTGCCGCTGTCCTGCAAAACTATTTATTACCTAAAAATAAGTATCAGATATTATTTTTAATCAAAATCTTTATCGTTATCACAGTCGTTCCACACAGTATCTCGT